GAAAATCAAGGAAAAGACCCTATAGCTTAGATCTAGGGCTTAGTAGCTCATGCCTGACATTAAATACCAGCTCACATATATTTTAACTAGATGTGTAAACCTGGACAAGTTTTGAGTTCCATAAATTTCATTTTTGCACTCATAAAATGAGGATACAAGTGCCTATTATTATTTCATTGAATTGTTATGAGGATTTATATAATGATGTAAGTGCAGGTAGTATGAACATTTGAGCAATAAATATTAATTATTCTAGAGAAAAATTCATGATCACATAATCAAGTAAAGCCTGGGCAGGTAGTGAACGAAACTCAAACTTCATTTTAGAACATAAGTTTTGATTCTGTGTTTTATATCTTTTAAAGTACATTTAATTCAGTAAGGCTGTTTTCTGAAGATGTTTCATGAGAAAGGTAACCATTTGTGAACCAAAGATTTTCTTAGCTGCCTTCCTGTCCCTGGAAGAGATGATAAAGTTAGTCCTCAGCCCAACCCTCATTGAATATCACACACCCTGGCTGGGTGCTAACAAAGTGTCTTTAGCTTTCTCAAGCTGTGTCAGCTAAACATGCCATTTGCTTATCACTCTTCTTTTAGGTTATTTATTCTAAAAATAAGAACATTAATAAGCCAGAAACAGCAATCTTATAAAAGCCTCATAGCTAGACAGATTTGTGGTCCTTATTAGAGTAATAATCCATCTGTTATAGAATTGGATCAATTTGTAAATTAAATTGATTAATCTAAAACTACAAAAAAAAGGTGTTGACTTTTTCCAAATTAAGTATTCCTCATGTGGATTTTCCTAAAAAGATTTGGGATAACTAGATTATCTATTCTTCCCTTTTCTGGATCCAGAAAGGAGGCTAAATATCTATTAAAAAGAGAGGTAAGTTTATTTCTGCATTGAGATTCTAAAGGCCTGATTTCTCCAAGTTTCATATTTTGACTAGGCTTAAAAGGTTAAAACCTTTTGATGCCTGCTGGAACATTTCTAATACCCATTGATTAGTAAATTTGTGATTATGTTTGGATTATCTTCTGTACCTAGTTCATTTTACTGTTATTTTAATCTTGGCTGATCACACACACACAAAAAATCTCCTGACAATTCTTTTAACAATGTGTGATTGGAATAATAACTTCACATGTTGAAGAGTTTTGTGCTGCAGCTGAGAGGCATGTAAATACAAGCTGCTTATTTGCAAGAAGCTTCCAGATTTGCAATATGATTGCTATGGAAACCACATAATGAAAACCTTATAACCATCTGTGTGGTTTGATGGATTTTACTGCATAGCTGAGCTGTTTTTGTTTACTGTTATTAAAATGCTGAATGGAATATATTAACTCACAAACATTGACTATTTGAGGTATTAATTAGTATTGTATAGTGACATTGTACCTCATTGCCAAAATAAAATATGTTTAATAATAAGCCCAAATAAATAGCATGTGAGTGCATATATTTCTAATATGCTGTGAAGGTGATTATTGCCTAGAATTTTGGTTACTTGTTCTTATATATATATATATATATTTTTTTTTTTTTTTAGTAATGGGAAGAGGTTTGCACTATTAATAAAAGAATATGTTTGAATTTATTTTCATGATTTTTGGATCCATGTCTTCACTCAAACATCTCCTTTGTGCCAGATTCTAATTAAGATTCAGTCTGAATATTTTCCCTCTTAAGATTTAAAAATACACACCAAATTTGATTTTGTTGTTTTTTACATAGAAGCTTTTTGTATTGTTAGCCCAAGATAAAAATTAGTTGAATATTATTAAGAAAAATCGATGTATGAAATGTATAAGGCTTTTGACTAAAATATCAGTTTGAAATGGTAAAAGGAAGAGGTGTTTTTCCTTTTCTTGGGGCGGGTGGCAACACTGGGGTTTGAACTCAGGGCCTCATTCTTGTTAGGCAGGCACTCTTAACACTTGACTTGCTCCATCAGTCCTTTTTTTTTGTGATAGGTGTTTTTGAGGTTGGGTCTCGAGAACTATTTGTCCGAGCTGGGTTCGAACCACGATCCTCCTGATGTCTGCCTCCTACGTAGCTAGGATTGCAGGCATGAGCCACTGGCACCCAACAGAAAGTGTTTTAAATGAACACCTCATGTTCTAAAACACTGCATATTAAGTAGCAGCTCATGTAAATGCAGTAAGTGTTAATTCCTAGGTATTTTTAATGTCATTATTCTGATAATTTAAGAATATGCTTCTTAAAGACAAAGCTTTCTAACACCAACACAATTCTCAGCACACATTATAGGCACTTAAGTTTTAATAAAATAAAAATAATAAATTTGTAGTATTAAATTCTTCTAAATTCATTAACTTTGTCATGGAGCAGAATTTTTCCTTTTAATTATTAAAAATAATTTTTATATTTTGGTGCTGGTGAGTCTAAATCCCAGCCTCTTCTCCAAAGCAAAGAATAATATTTATTACATACATGTAGTTATGGCTTTTGACTGAGGACATGTGTCCTTAACTATTTCTTAATTTGTCCCTTACTCTTGGATTTTGTGATCAGATTAAAAAGGGAGTGGGTGCTAGGGAAAGAAAAATTGGAAAAGTGAGGGAAACTTTCTCCTTCACTTTAAAAAAAATTAATCTATAAGCTGAGTAGGTTGGGTTAACAATTGTAAATTGTAAAGATTTCTATGAAACCACCCTATAAACAACCTGTTTATGACAACTAGCCCTCGAGATTTGGCAGAAGTGAAATAACTGTTGTTAAACAGAAATGTGCCATTTGAATTGCCAAGATTAGTTGCAACAATATGTAAAAAGCATCAACTATTTCCAGCTGTTCCTTATTTTGGAGCTTTTACTATTCTGTTTGCATTTAATTATAAAAACTCAAAAACAGTAATGTTTGTCTTGTAAGCACAGTAATTCCCACGCTTAATGTAAATGTTGATTTTGATTAATCACCTTAAAAGGTGCGCAGGAGACTCCTAAATGTACATCTGCAGTCCTGACTTCTATACATACTTTACCCTGTGACACTTTCTTTGGGTGATCCACCAGTGCATTAAATCCCTAATGTTGAAAACACAACTCCTTATGTTCCTGAGCAACACAGATTATCTTGGCTATACTTTAAATAATGATATACCCATTTCTCAGTAACAAGCTCAAAACCTGAGTTGTCCTTGGTTGTTTCTTTTCCCTCTCCTCTACCTCCAGACCGGCAGACCAGCTGACAGGCAGATAGGCACAAAGCTTATCAATTCTGGTTCCTTTACCTCTTACAACCACCTCCTTTCCATTTCCTCTGCTCCTCAGGACTTCCTTCCTCTTTATCTAGACTCTGTCCACTCCTCACCCAGGCTGTCTAAGACAATGGGATCAAATGGTCATTCCTGAAGCAGCATTTAAGGTCTGTCTGGTTTCTGCTCGAAAACCTTCTAGGGCTTTTTGCCACCATACCAAAGTATGAAGTTCATAACAGGATATGTCCACGGACCCTTGGAGACTGGCCACGCTACTAGTGTTGTCTCCATGTTTAGTCCCAATGACTGTGACTGTGCCTTGTTCTTTTAAAGTTCAGGACTTTCTCTCAGTCTGGAAACAGCCCTCTTTCCTTCTCATTTATGCTCTCTCTATCCTGTAGTACCTGTTCTTGGTATTCCCCAGGTGGGAGGTTTCTCCCCTATACTCCTTCAGTGCTTCGTGCCTTTTGCAGGCTTAGGTCTCTCTAGCTCATTTTCCTCTAGATCTTGTCTTCTGTCTCCCCTAGGCTGTCAACTTCCATTGGGCAGAAGCTCTCTATTACACTTGCCTGTTTGGCAAATTCCCTCTCTTATATGTAGGTAGTACTCAATGAAAATTGATTGACCAACTGATTTGATTTGACTATATTTATATATCTTGCATGTAAGTTTTAGATTTTTTGTGAAGTTATTATTCTTTTGTTTGTTTTTTGAGACAGGGTCTCACTATGTAGACTGGTCTTGAACTCATTATCTTCCTTCTTCAGCCTCCCAAGTGCTAGGATTACAGCTGTGTACCACCATACAGCATTATGACTTTTTGAATCCAGCAGTTTTTCTTTGGTGTGCCATATTTTTATGTCCTTCTGTAACTATTTCTCAATTATATATCAGTCCTTAGGTGAAATGATAATGTAATACATATATTTTTAGTACAAGAGAATTAAATAGTTGATTAGATTTTAAACTCTTTAATTTTCTCCTATTTCTTCTTATAAGTTGGGGAGAGAATGAGGGGAGAAAGTTAAAAGCATAGCACTGACCATAGGGAAGATTAAGAGCACGGACTTTATGACACACTTGAATTTGATTAGCATATTTTGGAAGTTACTTCACCCTGTCTCAATTTACTCATCTATAAAATGAGGATTTGAAAATTATCCACAAAATCTTATCTCTCATAGTGTGTGACACAAAGTATCCTCAATATAATTTTGGCAGCATTACCTTGAAGGGTAAGGATCCTTCTAGTAGCCTCCTATGAAGATTAAGTATGAAAACATGTCTGATACTCAATAGCTGACTTATAGGTTAACTGTATATCACACATTTTCTCCTTACTGTATTGATGTTTTAGGAACCATGATTTTATCTGTAATATTCCTGCCACACAGTGTAATATAATATGCTGGTATAATGCTTGGTGTTATTTTTCTGGATTCAAGGGTTCTAGTGGATTTAAGATTGCTCCAGATGAGTTTCTATAAGTATTTAAAGCAAAATATGCAATGCATTAGTACATATCTTAAATTTTATCAAGCCAACTCAATAAGCCTTGGGTTACTATTTGGAAATACTAGTTGCTTATTTGTTCTTTATGTTAGATTATTGACAAAGGAATATGAATCTTGGGTAGTTTCATTCTTTTAAAAATAATATTTATGTGCTATAAACCTTAAATTTTGCTCTTAAGATGGGGTAAGTATTGTATTATTCTCCCCAGGAGCCCCTTCAGTCAGTGTACAACTGACACTGTTTTTTTTTTTTTTTCAGAAGAAGAAGAGGACAATGCTTCAGTGAAAATGGAAGAACAAGGGAAGATGAGTCAGGACAGCCTGCATCACACCTCAGGTAATGACTATATGACTTCCAGGCAAAGCCAGTTTTGGTTTTTGCTTTAGCCACTTTCTTACTGCTCTAAAGATGTTCACACAGCTCCCAGGAGTTGACCTGTTTGGTCTGGATAGCTTAAAGCTGAGAAGCTACTTAGTCCCATTTAGAATGCATGAAAACCACTTGAGAAGGATTTATAAAGTAAGCCAATTTATACAAGGTATTCCTTCCTGAATTACTTTGTAATGACTCAATTAGCTTTCATTTCTGCACAAAGGAGATTTAGTTGCATAAATTAGCTTATCATCATTGAGGAAGTGTCACTGCTAAAGGACAGTTTATAGATACAACATGCAGTTGCTGTCAAACCTATAAGAATGTAATATAGACATCTGTGTATACTTTGTGCTTGAGCAGAACAGACTTCTGCCATTCAGAGACTAACAGGGGACAACAAGTTGCCCAGGGGACTGGCAATGTAGACATCTCTGAAAAGGTCAACTTGACACAGGCTCTGACAATCGACCCACAGCTCTGTCTTCTTTGATAAAAATCAGATAAACTTAAGACCGCTAATTGATCTGCAGCCTGTTTAAATGTTGGCCATGCATATCTTCATCGCATATGATTAACACAGAAAGCAAATGAATTGGGTAAGAAATGCCAGAGTCCAGTGACAGCAGCTTAAAAATTGGAAAAGGATACTGGTAGCCTAGAAGACTAGGAAGGATGTTCCCCTTATCCATTTCCACTTGGCACATGGCCCCAAGTACTAATTGTAACCGAGACTGGAAAAATAACTGCACACGCTAGGTACAAAAACCACATGATACAGACAACTTTTCTTGCTTGTTGTTATTTCCAAATAGCAAGAGATAAACCATATCTGTAATGCAAGCATGAGGTTAGTTTTGATAAACCAGCAATTATTTCACACGGAAAGAAGAGAAGGACTGCCTTCTTATCAGGACTTTACACCTCTTCACAGCCACATGTCAGCTGGGGCGAGGTCTGCCCTATCATCCTCAGGTCCTGCAAAGAGCTGGAGCTGGGGTGACCTTCCCCTCTTTGATACGTCCATACATCACTCTTTCAAGCTGTCAGAAGTAGGGTGGACAAGCAGTGTGTGTTCAGGAAGTAGCTTTCCAGAGGCCTTCCTACTGTGACATGTGGAAAGGAAACAGCAACCCGATTCCGGACCTGGACAGGAAAGCAGGAGCAGGTTGCTGCAAAAGGTTTTGGTTTGCTTTTTTCAGAAAGGGAAGTGAGGATGGAGTCATCAGATGTTAGCACTTTCATCCTGTAAAATACAGCTATAAAACACGGCAGCTCAGTAAAACCTTGAGGACTATGTTCGATAGTAATTTGAGTATATATGTTTTAGGTTATCTGTCATGAAGCTTCTGCCAAAAGCATGTAGTTTTCTTTTCCTTTTTAATTTCTGTGCAGGTATAGAAGGTAGATATAAGAATATAAATATTCTTTCCGCAGATACAAATATTTTGACTTAAAGCAGTGTAGTTTTCAAAAATGCAGTATTTTGAAAATAAAAAAGAAAACTTTTTAAAGTAACCATGTCTCAAACTTTTGCCTTTGAGAATAGAAAAAAGACCCCAGTTTTCCTCAAAGGAATGCAAAGTAGATGGAGCTTCTCATGCCATAGTTATAAAGCACTGCAGTAATTCTTATCTTTAGTGACATGAGATTCTTTCCAAGCAACAGTTTTAATGCTTTTGCATAGCAGTGGCCTTTGCTCATTCCTAGGCTGTCAAAGACTAGAAGCTAGTTTGCCACGCAAGGCAGTTGGTTGACAAGGGTATTACTGTCTTGCCGAGTATCACGTGACGTGAACTTCTAACCTTACTCAAGAATGTTATATATTTTTCACATTGACTGATTTTACTTAAAAAAAAAAATCAGACTTTCTGATGTAAAATATATAAGCATAAACAAAATTAATCTGTTTCTCCAACTTCTTCATGTTCAAGTTTATATATCTTGAACATATATACATATATATGTATACATATATACATATATATGTGTCTGTATATGAATGTATGTGTATTTTTTTAACACTGTAAAATATACTTTTGAATAATAGTTTTCAAATCTCTGACACCCACAGAGAGATTCTCCATTATGTTATATATATTTCCTTGGTTGTCATCATGTTTTTAAAATCGTATTGCCTTTGCAAAAATATTTCCAGTGTTTCCATGTTTAGTTCATACTTTGGCAACCATTTGGTTACCTTTGCCCATAGATCTGTTTTTGTTTGTTTTAATCCTTCACAGGCTGTCTGATTTCCAATTTCCTTTTTCTTCCTTACTTTCTTTTTCCTAATCATTCATGCGTCTCAAGACATGGATCATAATAAGGTGACTTTTTCCTGTGATTTTGAAAATATAGATCATGATGTGAATAAAATCGAAAGACTAATCCATGTGGTAAAGACAACTAAGCAGAATTAACTTGTATTCAGAGTGTATGCTTGCCACATTATGCTCCATCCTATAGAAATCCCTATCTCACATGGATTAGTTTTCATTGTATTGGGGAACAGTGTTAACTTTTGTGAACTTACCATGCTTTTGAGGCTGTGCTTAATATTTTGTGTGTATGTTTAGGCACACACAAAAATTTAAAAGTAAACTAAAGGAGCCTCCTATAGTTCCTAATTTTTATGTACAGATTTCATGTCAAGATTTAAACATTAACATTCCTGGGGAGACTGATGCAAACAAGCATACACTGCCACGTTTTCTCTTAGTTGTGATATTTCTTGTTTATAACTAGACTTACATGCTGAAATAGACAGACTAGTAAATTGTGCGTACATGGAGCTGTGTGATATAAACAAATTATTCTTTAACAGAGCTCACACATGGGACACAGAAGCGAGGTTGGTCATCAAGATTATAGAAAGCACAGTTGAAAACACATCTCTCTCCCAGCATTGTCAAATCACTGGCTCCATTGCCTCTTTACCACAGTGAGGTTTAATGAAATGCTCATGATGCACATCTAGGGAGAGATGCATCTTGCACACAGTGGGGGTCTCTTCCCCTCGCCTGCTCCTGTAACTCCCATTAGTGTTAATGGGAGTTTCTCCAAGTGCATCGAGGGAAAGAGATCCCCAAAGTGATAAGGATTATGGGTTAGAAATCACCATATACTTTTCCTTTCCTTCTTTCTTCCCCACCCCCTCTTGAAAAACCATTAAATAAAAAACTATCGTGAGAGAATCTGAAAAAGGAAAGAGCAGCCTGGACAGCTGGGGAACCCATTGGGATGCCATGGCTAAGCCAAAAACCTCTCCTCTAGTTTTCAGCCCAAGTTTTGTTTCTTCTGCCTTTTTGGGCCAAGCCTAAGACTGAGCAGCATTAGGACCACATAAGAGCTTTGACTAGAAAAACCAACTATTTAGACCTTTTACCCCCTGGCTGGGTGCTGGCGGCCAGGGTCTCGCGTGTGGAATGATGTCATCCCCCCTTTGCTCTAATTCCTTGACTTTTAAGCTGACACTGACAGACTGCATGGGGCACAACATTTGACCCATTTAGCAGTTGATTTAATCTGACTAGAATGTTTCAACTTCCAAATCTCTATTTGTCTAAATAAGTGGTTTTTAAAAGAAATCAGTCACTTTATTATCAAGTGATTTTTTTTTTTTTCTAAAAATAAAGAAAGAAATTGACCATGTTGGGAGCAATCTGGCCAGCTGGAGTGCCCTCTAGTGTCCATTTATAGAATTTATGTAATATGGCTTGGGCTGGGGGGGGTGCGGTGTAATGAAGGGTGGCCACAAGCATTGTTAGTTCTTGGTTGGATTCCCAGGCTTGTATACATCCCTGCTGGTATCAGTGATGAACGCTCAAGTGCTGGTGTGAAGAAGTCAATACAGTGTCTGTATCTCTGTCTGCCTCTTCCTTCTCCCCATCCTGTCCTCCTCTCTCTCATTGTCCCTCTCTTTCTCTGATCTTTAGAAAACAAGAAAAAATTTTAATAGGATTTTGTTAAGCTGTGTATTTTCTAGTCCTTATTTTCTTCAAATATAACTGAAATGTAGCATCCTATAAATATTTAGACTCCATGTTAATTAAGTTCTCTTTGACTCTAAAAATGTTTTTTAAGATATTAAAGAGGATTTAAAATTTTTCTAATGAACTTCACAGTGTATAAATCACAAAGTATGACTGTGAACACCCTAATGGTGTGCAAATGTGACTACTGTAGTCGTGTTGGAACTGCCAAGAAGCCTGCTGTTTCAGAGTCATATAACAAAAGTAAGATGACAACGCTGATCCAGCACGGGCCTTCAGTTATCTCCTCAGCATTCAAAGATGACATTCCAGTGATGGAAGTTGTCAGCGCGTGTGTCTTCTGCCTGACTAGCAAATACACGGACATCTTATTGATATTACTTGCATTCTTTTTACGTTAACTCATCAAAACTCAATTATCATGAAATTAAAAACAGGAAACAGTTCTCAGTGAAACAAAAGCACCCAGTGTATTTAACTCTGTGCTGTATTTCAGGAGACCCACATTGTATAAGTGACAAAGTATTTATTACCCAGTTTATTGTGGTATTACAGAGCGGAGAGCGCTAAATAATCAATCAGTTAATGGTCTGTATGGCAGTTTGAACACATCACATCCATTGTGCTTATGCTGATAGAAGGATGAGCTGATAACTCTAGTGTAAGTTGCATGTTTATTCAGAGCCTAATGTCCTAAACTGGGGCTGACAAAAATCTGGTGAAAAATGCAGCTTCAGCAATGGCAATTTCAAATTCCTAAAATAGTTTAGATTCAACTTTGAGAGGCTTTGGGTACAAATGTCCTCAAAGAACAGAGCTGCAATTGCCCTTTAAATTATTGTCACTTTTTGCTTTCCCTTTAGCCAGGTTTAGACTTTAGGATTTAAAAAAATGATTCCCTAGTTTTGGTCTCATATTAGCGCATTAGTTCTTTTATTACTCTTGTTATTTTCATGAGGTATCCCAAATTCTGTGAGATGATTACTCCACAATGTGTTGGTCCCATCCCATAGACACTGCTCATGATGTAATGTGGCAGACTCCTCTTCATACGGGGTTAGGTGTGTTACAGAAAATAAAGGGGAAGCAACTTTTAGTGCTTCTTCATGAGAATGTGTGCTGCGACTACAGGTTCTAGATGAAAAGCAGGAAAAGAAAAAGAGACTTTAAAAACCAGGTCTTTCTGAAAATGATCTTTGTTAGATGATAGTAAGAAGTAGGATTCTTGTGTGAATGTACTAAAATGTTTATTTGAGACAGAATTTTTTTTTTTTAGCCTATTTCGGTAGTCTGGGGTGATCCTTTAATTTCTATTGGTTCGAGCTCTAACTCATACTTTTTCTTTTTCCTAGGAGATAAAAGCACTGATTATGCTAATTTTTACCAGGGTTTATGGGACTGTACAGGATCGCTTTCTGATGAGTTGTCATTTAAGCGTGGTGATGTGATTTACATTCTTAGCAAGGTAAGGAGGAACCCCAAAATGACAAGTGTAAAGGGGAAATACACAACTCAGTTTTTATGCATTTGGATTTACGACACTGGGGAAAAATGCCAATTGGAATTCTTCTAGGTTCTTGTTAACAATTGGGAGTTCACGATAATTAATTATTTTGTCAAGTGAAATATAATCAAATTTTAAACACAATCAGATAACAGGATTCAACTTACCAGTGTGTTTACCTATCACTTCAGCCCTTGGCTCACATCCACCCTCTGTCTTCTCCAGAAACAATATACTTATGTGAAAGTTAACATTGTAAGGTATTAGGTTATTTATTATGTTTTTCTTTCCTCTTCCTTTTTATTCTTCTGTGTGCTTATTCTGATTTTGTCTGCCATTCACTACTGGAAACACTGTTTATAGAACAAGTTTTTCATCTTTATGTAAATAGGTTGGGTGTTCCGGCAATTTAAAAGCAATGCTTTTCTATTCAGACAGGTTTAGCTAATTTTTTTAAAGTTTAACCCACTATATTTGTAAACATAGTGGCAAAGTGTATTGCTGTAAACTCATTGTTTTATATATAAAAATCTTTGTGTCTGCTTTTTAAGAAACTGAATTATTCAGAATCTGCCATATCTAAAAGTCATGTTATACTTCTGGTCACTTGTGTGAGCTCTCTTAATTTTCATATTCTAATTTTTACTACTCTAATGTGGGGATTAAAAAATCTCCCTCTGTCTACTTAGTGAGATTATTTCGCAATTAAAATTTAAATATTTTACAATGTAAATATACGTACACTGTTTAAATATACAATTTTATAAATATACAATTAAAATTTAAATATTTTACAATATTAATATATTTTACAGTTTAAGGAAATGTTAAGATATATCATAAGTCTAAGAACTTAATATGTTTTTTTGATTAGAGAAACATTTTGGTCTTTTCAGAGGGATAATATGACTGTTAAATAGGAAGAGAATTTGGAAATAAGGTCACATGTTGAATTTTTTTCTTGGAGTTAGGGAATTTTGAACTCAGAACCTTGTGCTTGCTAGGCAAGCAGTCTTGCTACTTGAGCCATACCTCCAGCTGTACATGTTGAATTTTAACACTAGATGGCTGGTGCATAAAATCATAACTTAAACAATCCTAGAACATTAGAGTGAATGTCTTAATAAAGATCAACTATTCTTGGTTTTACAAATAAGAGAACTTTGGTCAAGAAAGTGCTAGAGCAAGTATTTAAGCTGTGTGTCTTGAGGATTTTTGTTTCCTGTTTTGTAGTTCTGGGGCTCGAACTCAGGGCCTCAGTCATGCTAAACAAGCACTCTACCACTGAGCTAAACCCCAGTCAAGATGTGTGTCTTGATTTCCAGACTAGTGTTTTTCCTTCTGTTTTCTTCCCCTCCCCTTCCCTCTCTTCCTTCTTCCTTTTAATTTGAAACCATGGTAAGGTACCTACAATGTGCCAGGACCCATTCTATGCACCAAGAGGAAGAAGATACAAGCACTTGTAGGTTAGTGGGGAAAGAAATACTTAGTAATACATAAATACAGACAGCTGTAATAACCACTAGTCAAGGTCCCCAAAGCTAAGGCTTCTCACTTATATCTCTCAATTTTCTGCTTAGAGGTATAGCTTTTTTGTTGTTGTTATTTCAGTTCTAGGAGCTGAAACTGAGCTGCTTTCAGTTCTAGGAAACTATAGATAGCCATTTCCACATAACAACTCTCTCTTTTTTTTTTTTTTTAAACATTTCTGGGGCTTGAACCCAGGGGCCTTTCATATACTAGGCAAGCACTATCCCAGCTACACCCCCAGCCCATTTAAAATTTTGAGACAGGGTCTCTCTAACTTGCCTAGGCTAGCCTTAAGCTTGTGATCATTCCTACCTCAGCCTCTCCAATAGCTGGGATGACAGACATGTATAATATCGCACCTAGCTCCACATGACAGCTCTAGATTAAGCCTGTTGTTGAGCATCTAACTGTCCTGAGTTAAGACAACAGCTTTTTTAAGTTAATAACTCACTATAGAAATAATAGTTATTAGTTTCACTTCTTGTCAAAAAACTTTCTTGGAATCATTCCCAAATTTACTTGGCTCACAGTTTCTTTAACCGATTTGGCTGCCAATGTGTATAAAATTAAAAGGTTGACTAGCTTCCATTTAGAATTTCAGATTATAGACTAAATGGCACATAGCCATTATACTCCTTCTGCAAATATGAAACATAAAGCCTATGTGGGTCTGTTCTTAAAACCTTCTTTGTGAGTCAGATTGTCTGTCGCCGAAAGCCTCAGTGCAGCCCCCACCTCTAGATAAACAAGCAGAGTTCCCATAGGTTTGTCTTATTTTTGCCATTGCTACGGAAAACGATTTTCTGTTAACCTGAAGTTAAAAGTATAACCATTGTATACCATACTTCTAGGAAGCCGGGGATTGTAGTTCCTGTTCTCTCGAAGCTGTTTTGTGGAGATTGTAGTTGTGTAAAGCCTGATTAGGAGCACAGGTTAGAGCTGGCCAATTTATGAGCAGCATTTACTCCCACCTAAAATATGTACAGATCAGGGGTTGCACTCAGGGCCTCACACTTGCTAGGCAGGTGCTCTACTACTAGAGGTACTGCACCAGCCCTTTTTGCATTGGCTATTTTTTTAGATAGGGTCTTGCTTTATGCCTAGGCAGGCCTGGACCATGACACTCGTCTTTGTGCTTCCCCATAGCTGGATGACAGGCATGTGCTACTGTGCTCAGCTTTTATTGATTGGGATGGAGTCTTGGCAAAATTTTTTTGCCTTGGCTGTCCTTAAACTGCCATTCTCCTGATCTCCACCTCCCAAGTAGCTAGAATTATAGGCTCGAGCCACCCCACCCAGCCCATCTAAAATTTTAAACACTATTATTTGTGAGTGAGCCAATCAAAATTACTTTCTCTATCAGACTATCACAGGGCTTGAAGTTCCACCACCACTATCATCATTTCATTGGGGGCTTTCTAAAGATGGCTATTTGAGCTGGAGTTCATTTTGGTTTTTGAAAAAGCCAAGAAGGAAGACCTCTAGCCACATTACCACTATGGGCTGAATAATTGAATGCCCATAGTCTTCAGCTGTGGTGACAAGACTCAGTGAAGGTAGAAAGAATAGATACTTAGCTGTTCCTGATGGGATTTTAACACATCCCAGCTGTGTGTCTGTCCCGTTTCCCACCCCCCCAGCTCCTCCTCCCTCCCCCTCCATGTGTGTGTTGACTTTTGATAGTCTGGTTGCTTTGGAGTTGAGCATTTTATAAAGACTAAATTCCCCCACCTTGCTTTGGGCAAATTCAGATAGGAATCTCTGGAGAATCTCTAACAATCTCTTACTGGTGGTGTGTCCTTCCAGTTTTATCAGAACTTTGGCAAACACAGATCATAAGTTAATACCATAAATTTATTTAATATGTGATGACTGCAGCTTTGAGTGGTTTGTGGTACAAATTAAGAACTCAAGGCTTTAGTAGAAGGGAGTAGTAAATTACTCAAAAAGACTTGTTTCTAGATCAAAGTCGGGCCAGTGTTGTGTAGTTTGAAAAGTGCAATCAGTATAGAAATCATTAATGTTATTACAGGCCTAGAAATTGTTTAATCTTTCTTAGACATATTTAGATTTCCTGATAATGGGATGAAATTTTACCATTTTAATTTATTTTTTTACACCATCTAGTGGCTCAGAATGAATGGTGCAGGTAATTGCTGTTAATGTGCACAATCAAAATGGTGTCATTAATTCAACTTTAAATCTAGCTATGGGTTATTACTTTCCCATCTCATGTCAGTAACGTATTAGCATTAATCATGAAAAATTTTGTTTATCATTTTTGAATTAAGTATAGAAATTGAATACAAAAGGAAGATGACATTTTAGGGAATCTAGCATAGTATTTCTGAAGACATAGAAAATGTGTACTTTGGAAAGAAATTAATGCCATGGTTTTCTAATAAATAAAACTACTTAAAAGATTTTAAAGAAATGCAACTTGCTCTTACTAATGAACTGATTTTTAATTTGAAATATTAAATTATCACTGATTTGACTTAGCTTCTACAAGTTTGTCAATTCTGAACATATTTTAAAAGGCAACACAAAATAGTTTAAGATGCATTCTTTCAATGTAAATAAACATTTAGACATCAAGAAATAAAATAACATGCATTACAATGGAGAGTATTTTAATTTTGTAAATTTAATGGTAGGAAAACATTTATTTAACTGGTTTGGGGATTAGGCTATCTCCATTAAAAATCACAATGGAAATACAGTGTTATTTTAAACTTCTGTCTTCTTTTTCTGCTTTGTAAGTAATCCTTGATGGAGTGCTAGCTGTGCCCAGTCAGCCCTGGTAATATTTATTTATTTTAAGACTTTTTAGCGAGTTATACAAATTTTAGCCTTTTTTTCCTCTTCAGTGAAAAATCAAATGTTGCAATAAAGAAAGAAGTGCAGGCAGACACCCTGCCCTTCCCCCGTCCCTTTTTAACATTTTCCAATTAGCAGCTGTCATGTGAGCCCTGGCTGAACTGGCCCCTCCTTCAAAGTGTCTGGCATTTTCTTAGTTTTAACCTTTGAACCTCACTAATAATAAATCTAAATACTGCTTGCCTAAAAGGCAGACGGTAACTTTTTTGCTCTACAGTTCTTTTCCTATAGGGTTGGTGCTGTACTTTTTTGGTTTGGTTTTGCTTTTTATGTGTTAAAATAAATGCTTCCGAAGTTCAGTGGAGATTTAGAAATCTTTTTTATCTTTTTTATCTCCTTAAAGCAAAAAGCACATTTTCAGGGATGGATGAAAGTGGAATTTATGATTTTAATCTCAGCAACATTGTTAGTAAATTAACTCTGAAATGGTTTCAGATTTATTTGGTGGCGGGGAAAGTTATATTGGAGGTAGAAAACCTTTTAATTTTAAATTTTTTAAATTAATTCCCCCCCCCCAAGAATCAGCTTTCTTAAAACCATGCTAAATTATT